CCCACCATAGCTAGATAGACCATTCACCGCCGGAAAAAAAGAAGGGGTTTCGCCGAGGCAGCCGCTCCACCGCCGTCCGGGCAACTTTTCCGGCGTTCCGGCTGCGCAGTGCCTGTACACCGACGGGTGTGCGCCCACCTCGCCCGCAAGGTGTTCGGTGATTTGTCCGGCCCGGCGATGGACTCGGAAGATGAGGAGGCGCTCGCGGCATTGCTGGAGGAGGAAGCCGAAGCCGACGTCCAGGAGCAGGAGCATCTCATGGTGCTCGCTGCCCTCGCCGGCCTGCTCGCGAGAAGTGAAAAGCCGCGGCGAGGTGGCTCGGCGCCGGGGCGGGTGAAAGCAAAGAACCGGCATCGTCTGGAAGGCAACTGCATGCTCTACTCCGACTACTTCGCCGACGCTCCATTGGACGGCGAGAAAATATTTCGACGTCGTTATCGGATGAGCTGAAAGCTTTTCCTCAGGATTGTGAATTCCATCCGGGAATTCGACAGCTACTTCAAGTGCAAGAAGGATTGAACCGGCACACTTGGATTCACCTCAATCCAGAAGTGCACGACAGCTATGAGGATGCTTGCATACGGAGCTCCCGGTGATTCACTCGACGACTATGGGCGCATGACCGAGTCCACAACCATTGAGTGTTTCTACAAGTTCTGCAGGGCAATGGTGGCAGTGTTTGGACCGCAATACTTGCGAACACCCAATGCGGAAGACACTGCTCGGATCCTAGCACAGAATGCAGCAAGATGATTTCCTTGGATGCTTGGAAGCATCGACTGCATGCATTGGAAATGGAAAAACTGTCCATTTGCTTGGCAGGGGTTGTACAAAGGCGCCAAAGGCGGTTGCAGTGTGGTACTTGAGGCAGTGGACACACAGGACCTCTGGATTTGGCACTCTTTCTTTGGATGCCAGGAACTCACAATGACATCAATGTCCTGCAGTGCTCCCCTGTCTTTGCCAAGCTTGTTGAAGGTCATTCTCCTCCGGTGAACTTCGAGGTCAATGGGCGGCAGTACAACAAGGGGCACTACCTAGCTGATGGCATCTATCCGAAATGGTCGACATTTGTGAAGACTATCTCAAACCCTGTGCCAGGAGGCAAGAACGCCTTCTTTCCGAAGGTTCAGGAGGCTTGCAGGAAGGATGTCGAGATGGCATTTGGTGTGCTCCAATCTTGATTTGATGTTGTCTGGTTTCCCGCTCAGACCTGGTCGAAAGATCAAATGTGGGAGATCATGACTTGCTCTGTCATCTTGCACAATATGATCATTGAGAGCGAGAGGAAGAGCTAGTATTTGACATAGAACCATATTACAGGCAGGGTCCTCTTGCCCAAGTTGATCACCAGCTACCGGCAATCTGGACTGACTACCTCAATATGCGTCAGGAGATCCGAGGATCACAGGTGCATCAAGAACTGCAACACGATCTGGTGGAGCACCTATGGAGGCTCAAGGGCGACGCCGGGAATGACGTGTGATGAAATATGAGTTTTTATTTGTTGAACTATATAATTTGTACTGAACTATTTGTTGAACTATTTGATTTATATTGATTTTCTGTGATGAACTATGGAGGCAAAAACACGCCGAAACACGCCGAACTATGTGATGAACTGATTGATTTCTATTTGTTGAATTATTTATTTGAGAATTCACACTGAAACACGCCGAACCGCGCCGAATATGGGCCGATTCAAACAGATATGGGGCCTTTTTTGGATGAAATTGGGCCTAATAATGGGTCGAAATCGGCGCCTGGGGGCGACGGCTGGGTGCCCAACCGCCCCCAGAGCCGAGTTTGCCGCCGGCTCGCCCCCAGGCGACGATTTTTATGCCTCGTGGGGGGGGGGGGACGGCTGGAGATGCTCTAACTTACCATGGAAAAGCACTCATAGTTGTGTCATTGTAGAAACCTATTTAAAACTTGGCTAACTCCGAGTACACCAATATAAAACACTAAACTTAATACAATACATAGATTACTCCCTCCATTTAAAGTATAGTGTATGTTAGATTTTTCCAAAGTCAAAAAATTATTAACACCTAAAATAGTAAATCAATACCATTAGATTCCTCAAGAAATTTATTTGTATATGACATATATTCAATGTTACAAATATGAACACATCTCTATAAATTTGAACAAAAATTGTGTAGCTTTACTTTTGAAAACAACAATGTGTGGAAGAAAAACCTCGAGTAACGCAAATCGTGGCCTAACAAAAATTGTGACGCACGCGTCTCTCCTCCAAGGAAAATGCGGTTAGGGTTCCTGCGTCCTCGGCTGCACTGCGCATTTGCCTTGTCTCCCATGGCCCTCCTGGGCGCGGTGGATCTGGGCCTTCTTCGGTGGGAGGACTTAGTTTTTAGGTATTTCTTTGAGCTTTATTAGGGCTTGTGTCCTGCTCAAGGTAAGATGGCGGTGGCTTCGTGAAGATGAAGGGTGTGTTTGGTTTGGGAATGGAGTGGAATGAAATGTCATGGTTCCATTCCACTAGAATGGGTCGGTTCCATCCTTGTGTTTGGTAGGGGCAGTTCGAAAGAATGAAATGGTTACATTTTGGTGTTTGGTTTTATAGATGGAACGGAATGGGTTTGTTCATATCTCCACTTGTTTTCTTGTGATTATGTACAATATATTGATCTTTGGCACCAAACACAAACAAGACACATATAGAGGTAAAAAAGATCATCAACACACAACAAATCTTTCAATTGTAAATGCCCAAAACAAGTGATATATATTGCCCTGTCAGCTAGAACTTCATCGCTTTTCTGTCATCTGCATACAAAACATAAAATTCAGTGGGAGCACAGCAAGCACCAGCTGGAGCAGCACGACACACAACAATAGGAACAAGTCCAGGCCATGAGCAGCAAGGGCCGGCCACGAGCAGGACGCACGCAAGGGCTGGCTAGCGGCAGCAGCAGCAGCACGGGACACAACAACAATAGCAGCGAAGGGCGGCCACAAGCAGGACACACGCGGGGCCGGCCATGAGGGGGCAGTAGGGAAAGGTGAGCGGAGGACCTATCGGCTAAATGGCCGCCGCCATCGTCGGACCATGACGAATCTGACGGGAAGGCGAGGGAACGGCCACGATCCGGTCATCGCCGCCGGCGTCAGCGGCGAGTATGCCGGCGGTGAGGCTGGGAGCAGCGAGTGTCTCCTTCGGGCACCGTCGTTCGTCTCGTTCGGGCGCCGCCACCCGGTGCGTGCCAGCCGTGAGGGAGATGTACGAGAGAGGGAGATACGCGAGGCGCCGAGGAAGACGCGAGGGCGAATCATTCCGCGTGGTCCGCTCGATTCAGAGGAATTGCTCGGTTCCACATAAACGAGGAATGTGCCGTTCCCTAGGATCAGTGGGTTCCGGTCCTTTGACAATCCGAACACGTGAATGGGTCTTGGGAACGGACACGACCCGTGCCGTTGCACTTCATGACAAAAACCAAACACGCCCCAAATAAAAATTCTTCCTGATATGTACCTGTCCCGATGTGCCATCTAGTATCGTTGAAGGATGCGTGGAGACGTGTACTACTACAATACAAATGAATTTTTTCTATAGTTTATGTAGCGGAAATCGTGATGCCCACAGCATTCAGTTTGTGCACATTGAAGTGGGTTCGGAGTCCTAGACGTTGCAAACTCCCATGTGTCTGCATGGGGTCTCAACCCGTTTGCATGTGCTGTACTATAGTAATTTTGCAAATTTATTCCTACGAGTAGTACGGCACTCATCCACGAGTACTAGTATGTGCGCACTTTTGGAGTAATCTTCCCATGGCAAAATCAACTAAGGCGGGTCATAGTGGGAGTAACATAGGTAGTAACATAGATGCCACATAAGTAAAATTGGTGATGTGGCAAGTAGTTAATGAGGAGAGAGGCAAATAGAGTAATATGTTACCATCACATAGCGGTTTCCAATGCATAATGAGTCTACAAAGTAATAAATGAAGGCAACTATGTTACCACACTTATGACACTACCCACTATAAAGGTAGTAACATAGACTAGTAACATATGTATGTTACTAGTCTAAGTTACTCTCCACTATGACCAGCCTAAGGAGTCAAAACACAACAAAGTTTCCCCGGCTTTGATGAGGAAGGAACGATAATGGTTGTACATTTTTGACTTGCTTCAGTATTTGTAGTCATTGCTAGATGGTCTACGAATCTGAATGTATATTTTACTTTTGGTGTTCTTTGTATTATCTTAACAGTTGATGAATACATCAAAAGTTTTCCTAAAAGAAAACTAAGAGTCAAAACAATAAAGGTACTCCAATCTTAACGATATGTAAAATAAGGTAATCCGATGAACAAATACATGCGAATTTGGTAAAACAAATCTTGCATGCACGATAATTGCTACTAGTACAACACCGTACACATCACCAGTAAATCCTAGCCATCGGTATATTTATTTTCTGACGGCAATCCTTACCATGGATCTAAATTCAACGAGAAGTTGAACCGTCAAGATCGCCGGCCGGCCGGGTGTTGGTCTCAGTCTCTCAGACCGCACTGGTAGCCATCTTCGACCCTCCTTCCTCCTCGCGGTCACCTTCGCCATCCTCGGCGACGAGCGCGTCGCCCTCCTCCTCCCTATCCCACTCCTTGTAGACGTCGAGGAAGTAGAGCGTGCAGACCATGGCGACGCATGCGGCGAACATGGGGATGGGCCCGAAGAGCCAGAGGAACACCGGGCACGAAAAGTAGAATGCGCGGACGCCGAGCGACCAGAAGTAGCTGCCGCGGTTGAGTGTGGAGGTGACGTAGTCGATGGCGAGGCCGGGGCGGCGGTGGCGGTGCGCCTGGAGCGGCACGTTGACGAGGATGCCTGTGTGGCTGTAGTACCGGATGGACTGCACGTTGAGGAGGAACGCCACCAGGAAGCAGACGAGGATGGCCAGGAACTTGACGGACAGCGCCGCCTCCCCCGCCGCGCCCAACACGATGTTGTTCTTGCTGTTGTTCTGGGCGGGGCTGGCGGTGCCGGAAAAGAGGCCGTGGGCGGCGCCGCTGGCCATGAGGGCGGCGACGAGGGAGCTGAGGGTGATGGCGACGGAGGCGAGCACGGAGGAGGCCATGATGGCGTTGCGCATCGTCTGCACGGCTAGCACGGCGTGCTTCCCCGAGGGGTCCTGCATGATGTGGCGCACCCAGATGCGGCGGTTGATGGCGTTGATGCCGATGACGGTGGTGGCCGGGCGTCGCCGGATGCGGAGGAGGAGCCACAGGTGGTACCCCACCATCACCGCCAGGCCCAGAGGCACCAGCACGTAGTCCAGGCGCTGCTCCGACTTGCTGCCCATTGCTTCTGCTCCTCCTGCTGCTACACAGACAGGAGGCGTATGTACTGAGGTAGCTGAGGTGAGGAGGAGTGCACTAAATATATAGTAGGAGCTAGGAGTACAAGGAATTTATTTGTCAATTAAATCTCACATGGAAATTGGCAACGCTTGGACTTTGCACCTACTCGTCTCCTTCACGAGGAGTACTAAGGGCATCTCCAGCTGCGCCCCCAATAGACCCTCCCCAGGCGATTTCGCCGCGCCGGCGCCAAAAAAAGGCCCCAGTCGCGCTCCCAGAAGCCCGTTTTTCGCCGGCTCGGGCCAAAACTGGTGCCGGCGGACCCAGGCCGAACCCGGCGCCCTGGGGGCGCTGGGGGAGCCGGCGCAAGCGAAAAAGGCGCGTGGGCCCGCACTAGAGGCGACCCGAGGGCCTTTTCCCGCCGTTTTGTTGCCGCTTTTCTCACTTCTCTCCCGCTCGCTCGCCTTCCTCCCGCCATTCTCCCCCTTTCTCCCGCCAACCCCCGCTCGCATTCCGCCGCCATGCCGTCGAAGAAGTACTCCATGCCGCGCGCGGCGGCGACCGCGACAGGCGCCGTGACACAACCGAAGCAGAGGAAGCCGAGGGCGCTGCCATCGAAGCCACCGGGCCTGTCGAACGCCGAGTGGAGGGTGGAAGTTCAGCGGCGAGAAACAGTCACCGCCGACAGGCGGAACAGGGCGATAGCCAAAAAGGCCCGCGACAACGCGGCGCGCGCGGCGGCGTCTTCCTCGTCTGTCGAGGCGGGGATGAATCCTCCCGTCGTCAGCCACGCCCACCAGTACGCGTCCTGGGGACAGCAAGGCGCCGGATCTCCATGGGGTTCATCGTCGCCCGGCTACGCCGACGGCGACGCGCACAGCGGGTTCAACCCAAACGTGACCTTCCCCCATGGTCACCCCGCTACGCGCACGCCCTCGCCCGCCTTCGCCGGCGTGCAGTACCCACCATACAACTACTCGCCGCCCCCCGCCTACGCGACCACACCGACACCCCATCTTTACCGTGGGCCGCTGCCCTTCTCGCACCTCGGCGATGCCGACGACACGGGAGCCGACATGGACGACATCATCGCGACAGGATCGGCCGCGGCCGCCTCGTCTCCCGGGTTCGCCACCCAGGAGGAGGTAGTCGACCTCAGCGGCGACATGGAGGCCGAGCTCGGCTACGTCTACGGCGACGACGCGCAGGAACCCGAGGAGGAGGAGGAGGATGAGGACGAGGAGGAGGAGGAGCCGGCTCCTGTTCCGACGAAGGGGCGCCAGAAAAAGAAGCGGGCGGCTAGGTCGGGCGAGCCGCGCATCAAGTGGACGTCCAAGGAGGAGGAATGCCTCGCCGAAGCGTGGAAAGTCGTCTGCCTCGACCCGACCACCGGCGCGAACCAGAGCTTGGAGACGTACTGGGACCACATCAAGGCCGAGTTCGACGAGCGGAAGCTCGTCGACCCCTACTTCAAAGGCGTCTACATGCAGCGCGGGTCCAAGGCAATGGCGAACCATTGGGGGCGTATCCAGTTGGCGTGCAACAAATGGCATGGAATCGTCGAGGAGGTCGCGGCTCGCCCGGAGAGCGGCGCCAGCGTTGAGGATCAGGTACGCACGCCGTTCGCCCGCACATCTTCGTCCCCTACACCCGCCGTTCGCCAACTGTTCGTCCATCCGCGCAGTTGCTGCGCATGTTCTCCATGTTCCGGGGTGACAACCAAGACGCCGACTTCAAGCACCTCCACGTCTACAAGCGCATTGATAAGTGCGAGAAGTGGGCGGAAGTCTGGCGTGCCCTCGACAAGGCCAAGGAGACGTACAAGCCGGACGCGCCGACTCCGGGCGCGTCGGAAGGGCGGCCGGACGGCCACAAATTGGCCAAGAAGGGGAAAAACGCCGACGCGGTAACCGCGCGAGTGCAGGAGTCCATCGAGCATTGCCTCGTTGACGCCCAGGCCCGGGCCGTCCTACGCGAAGAGAAGACCGAGGCGCGGTGGTCGGCGCTAATAAAGAACAACGCCATCAAACTCGACCTGCTCCGGACGAACGTCGCCGCGAAGAAGAGGAACACCGACATGGCTTTCCTGATGGGCGGGGCGGACATGCTCCAGAGCAATGACGAGAAGCTCAAGGCGTGGTACCTGGTGCAGCGCGGTCTCATCCTGAACGAGCTGCCGACGGCAACGCCCACGACGCCGACGACGCCCACGGCCGCACGGACGCCAAGCCCGAGCGAAGCCTCTACGTCGCCGCCCAGCAGTGTCGAAGCCGCGCCGACGCAGCCCAACACCGAAGCAGCTCCGACACCGCCGAGCTCGCGCACGCCGACTCCGCCAACACCTGGGACTAACCCCGCCAAGTGAATGACCCCGCCGAGGCGGCGGCGCTCTATTTTTTGTAACGCCAGACTATGCCCGACCGCCGGACTTGCAACGTCTTTTGAGAGCGGGAACGACCAAGTTTGAATTTACCGCGTCCTGGGGCCGGCGCGTGGGTGCGTGACTGGGAGCTAGCTCGCCCCCAGGGGCCGAGCTAGCGCCGGCACGCCCCCAGGATGCCGAATTTAGTCGCCCTGGGGGGCCGAACGGCTGGAGATGCCCTAAGCTGGTCATAGTGGGAGTGACATAGGTAGTAACATAGATGCCACATAAGCAAAAATGATGATGTGACAAGTAGTTAATGAGGAGAGATGCAAATAGAGTAACCTAATATGTTACCATCACATAGCGCTTTCCAATGCAAAATGAGTCTACAAGACAATAAATGAACATGTGAAAGTTACTACACATATGACAATTCCCACTATAAGGGTAGTAACATAGAGTAGTAACGTATGCATGTTACTACTCTAAGTTATTCCCCACTATGACTCATAATGGGAGTAACTTAGCAAGTAACATAGCGCATTTCAAGACAGGTTTGCTTATGTGGCATAGAGTTAATGAGGAAAGAGGTGTTTAGAGTAACATAATATGTTACTGTAACATAACGCAACCCAAAGCAAATTGAGTCTATAATGTAATAAATATTATCATCTATGATACTATTTGTATGTTACTTTGCACTATGAAGGTAGTAACAAAGACTAGTGTCATACGCATGACACTAGTCTAAGTTACTCCCCACTATGACTAGCCTAAGAGTATTTTCGCATGCGAACGCATGTACTCTCTCCGTTCCCAATTACTTGTCACAAAAATGGATATATTTACAACTAAAATACATCTAGATACATTTATTTTTTGGACGAGTAATTTCGAACGGAGGGAGTACTAGGACTATTTTTGTATTTGAAAGAGCTTTCCACAGTATAATTTTTATGACATATAGTTTACATTTTGTTAGTTAAAATTTTAAGTCAAATTTTAGCCCAAAATAAAGGGGGGGGGGGGCTAATAAACCCGGACGGAGGTAGTAGTAGTAAATGTGATGGACACTGAATTGTAAACATAGGGCGTGGTTACAAGTAAGCGTGTCCCTTCTTCCTCCAGCTCGTCTCCTTTCCCATACCGCCGAACGGACCGCCGGCCTCGCTCGCCGGCCACCACCACCCGCGCCGGTGGTGCTCC